CAGAACCGCCTACTTAAGCATATTAATTTTTTTTATAGGTATTAAATGATGCCCACCCAAATTTGTCTCTTTGCAATGGCAGATAGCCCATCGCTGTCTGCGTACAAATGATTGACTGATTCACCGGTCAACCATGGAACAAATTGAATGAGGTTTGGCATCCGCGTGGTGCAAATCTTGTATTGCTGCATTCCCTAGCAGAAACACCAGAGAAACTATCAAACACATATTTATGCAATGCGCAGGCACTGTATTGTTATTGAGAAAATGGGACTGCATATGGAGGGAACTAACAGGTATTGACTGGTCCTGGGATTGGAGGGCCATTCTACTGGGTCATTGGAACACCTTAGACCTCCACTTAATATCCAAATGCAGGCTCGGCACCAGGGCAGAGCCAACCCCCATTGCTCTAGGGGTGAATGGTCCACTAACCAGTCCTAACATATAATGAAGGAGAGAAGGATGGAAGATGGTCCTCAAATCCATATATAACATGGAGGTTTGTATTTAGTACTATTTCCTAAAGCTTGCTTTCTTCTGCAAGACAGATGACTTGCAGAGGGGGAGAGCAGAATGATGCAAGCTTGGGTTTCTAAGTCAGAGACTGGACCCACTAGAGCTAAAACACCAATTTGCCTGAAGCTAAGTCGGGCTCTTACCGATTTATGCGGTAAGGTCATGATGCTCCGGGCCTGGGCCAGAGTGAACGAGGAAGGCAACTATGACAAAGAACAGTTAGAGGCTGGAAAGCCTTGGAGGGTAACTTCGCCAACCTAGGGTTGTGTGACTTTCTGTTGCTCTGCGATCCTCTTTTGAAGGAAAAAAGAGGTGGGGTGATGTAGGGTGATGGCGGGAGGAAGTAGGGGAAGGAATGGTGTGGAAGGAGATGGGCTATGAATAAAGAAAGGGGGAAGGAGGGAGAGAAGAGGAGAGGTAGTGGACGGAGGGGTTGGGGTTAGAGGGTGTGCGAGAAAGAGGGAGGGAGAGAGGGGAGGGGGGGGGAGGGGCAGCTCACATTTTCTTCATTTTGCAATCCGGTAGGTGCTTGTCTCCCTTTTTTTTTCAGACTATTTTCTTTAAAGTTTAAACCTAATTGGGAATTCCTTCAAACTATTCTCCTAATCCGTACTTCTAATTAGTATCCTCCAAAACTAACTAATCAACATCCAATTATCATCCATATCATCATCTTAATAACCAAGCTATTTAAAAAAAAAAAAACCAAGGTACTCTTTCAACTGCAAAAATATCCTAATCAAATATAGAAATTAAATTTCTAAATAATATTCCCGAATCATAACTCTCAACTCCTAGAACTAAACTCATCGGTATTCCTTAATACCTAAATTCCGAAATTCTGAATCTCTGAATCTCCGAATCTGTATCTACACTTTTCATGTTTTTATTTTTGCTGCATTCGCTTCCATAGCTGCTCTTTTCCAATTCTATTTCAGAAACCTGGTTTTTAAAATTTCTCCACCGTAAATTTCGTTGGTTCGAAATTCCAGGTTTTTTTTTGTTTCTTTTTTTATAACCGTATTCTCTCTCTCTGTGCATTGACGCTTTTTCCTTATGGATGGAAGGTTCGCGTAACAGGGGAGAGCTCCACTCTGCATGGGTGACGCAAGGTGGGAAGTGAAGCCCTGGCAGGGGTGTGAGCAGATTTAGGGGGTTGCCCCATTCTGGGGTTGGGTTGGGGGTACACATCCCAGTGGGGGTAGATTAGGGTAAAGTGTGGGCAGAGGCATACTTTGGGAGGGAACTGTACGCCTTTGTGGGATAGAGAGGGGGAATGTAGGTCTGTCCCAAGTTGGGGAGGAGATAGGTTGCCAACAATCTGGGTAATATGTTTCGGTGGAGGCAATGTTGGGGTAGGATGGTAAGGAAGAGGGGGGGGAGAGATTTCTTCAAGCTTTTGTGGAGAAGGTGGAACTATATCTGGAATAGATTCACGGGGTTAGACTGGCCATGGTGTTGGAAAGTGATTCTGTTGGGATATTGGAATCCAATTTTAGCAGAGCTCTCAGAATTCCAGCAATTTTTTTTTAGGGGGAAGTACGTTTATGTCACATGGGAGTTCGTAATGGGCAGAAAAAACAGGCATCGGCATCTGTGTCAGGGCCTGAGTTTGAAAAGGCGTTCGTAACTGAGGCCGGCGGTGGTGTCAGGGCGGAGGTTTCATTAAGGCGGTTGTGTCTTCTTCTTTTTTTCTTTTTTCTTTTTTCTTTTTTTTTTTGGTTGGTCGCACCGCGGCGGCAAGGAGGAAAAGAAGGTTTTGTCGGTCGCGCCGCGCCGTGCCGCGGCTGGAAAAAAAAAAAAAAAAAAACATGGTCGGCCCACGGCGGGGGTTTGGCCTATACATCTGGGCCATGGCCAATCTGGGGTGTGGCCGAGACATCTTGGCCGTGGCCAATCTGGGGTGTGGCCGAGACATCTCGGCCGTGGCCCGACCGTGGGGCCGATACACCTTCTTTTTTCTTTTCTTTTTTTTTGTTTTTTCAGCTGCGGCATGGCGCGGCGTGGTGCGACCGACGGAAAAAAAAAAAAAAAAAACATGGATCAGATGCTCCAGAAGGGATCGCTCCAGAAGGGATCGCTCCAGAAGGGATCGCTCCAGAAGGGATGGCTCCGAATTCACAGCACCAACCATTGCAGTATCCACTGCTAACCATGGTTACATAGTAACCAAGTTCACGTGGATGAATGAAACACGTGTGTGTGTGTGTTAGCGGGCGAGTCACGTTCCCGCATGATCGTTGGATTTTCCGCATCAACGCGTTCTACACTACCGACCAACTACACAAAAGACGAACGAATTCGAAAAAAAAGGTTTAGAGCGGCAACACAATCCAGACATTCGTTTGCAGATACACGAAGAGTTAAACACCCTTACCAGTATGAAACAAAGAGAGAGAGGACGAAATAAAGCAGGCGCAGAGAGAGAGAAAAAGAGAGAAAAAAAGAGAGAGAGAGAGAGAGAGAGAAGGAAATAACTGAGAGAGAGAGAGAGTGAGAGAGAGAGAGAGAGAAGGAAATAAAATGACAGCTGAGGAGACAAAACCGGCAATCTTCAAAAGCTTCAGGCTCACTTTCCACTTACAAATGTTGACAGCAGTCAGCAGCTCACTCGGGGTCGCTGCAGTGTCTTCACTCTCCTCGTCCTTCTGCACTCCCTGCTTGCAGACAGAACAAGGAACACAAACGCTCCCTGGTTGCAGAATAAAGCAAAAGAAACGCCCCCTGGTTGAATGAAACAACACCGAACATATCAATCAGGAGTTTATCGACGTCGAGTGCCTCCTACAGCGTTCTCGAACCTCACCGACCATTGCCATACAGGCTGCCGTAGTGTCTGTGCGTGACCCGCCGCAGTCCTTTCAACGCAACCTGACCCTTCATTTACTATAAGCTTATTAAAGGGGCTCTACGCCCTCTACTGCCTCATCAAGAAAGACCGAAACCCCACCACGAACGGGTGGGTTTATTAAACTCCGTTCAAACGGGGTTCCTTTGTTCTACTGCCTCACCATTGCAGCACGAGCTGAAGTTGAAGTTACAACTAATGCCTTTTTTTTTTTTTTTTTTACGTGCTTCCGACCCAGGAAGTTGACATTCACTGTTAAAGGACGGTTAAGGTATGTACGACACGTGACGCGTGAAGATAGAATCTGGAGATCAGATAGCGACAAACGAACGTACATACTAGAGAGAGTAGCAAGGAAAGGACGTTATTTCCCCCTTTTTTTTTCGCTGCAAACTTTAGTTGGCTTCACAACGGAGAATCTGGAGATCAGATATCGACAAACGGACGTACGAACCACAGAGAGTCGCAAGGAAAGGAGGTTGACATCTTGTCACACCCCTTTTTTTTCGCTTCAAAACTTCTGTCGACTTCCCGCAACGGCGCCAACTAAGGCTGCGTGCTACCGAGCCAGAAAGTTGACATTCACTGTCGAAGGACGGTTGAGGCATGGGCGACACATATCAAAATTAAGTGATTGTTCAGCAGAAGTATTATGATCTGAATACTCGTAAGTCCAATACCATTGATGTCCAATCACTTTGATAGTAATTGCAGGATCTAACTACCTCATCCATGGAATATAATAGACGAGTGAAGATAGAATATGGAGATCGGATATCGACAAACGAATATACATATAGTAAAAAAAAAAAAAAAAAAAAAAAAAAAAAAAAAAAAAAAAAAATCCAAGGAAAGGCGGTTGACATCTTGTCACACACACCTTTTTTTTCGCTTCGGACGTTAGTTGGCTTCACAACGGAGATCTTATTACCTGCTGGAATAATGACATCCAACAACACAGGACTCGAACTGTAGTACATCTATTCATTAATACTAACAGCCGTGGAGTGTGCCATTCAGCCACCAAGCAGGAGGTACAGGCACACGCCCCCATTGACTAAGGGCACCAATGAGAGAAAAAAGGAGGCGAAGACAATTACAATAAGAAAAATGGACACAGCGACGGTCTCTACTTTCAATTATATCTTTTCTTATTTTGTTTAGCCTTCCATTCCCTCCCGCAAATACTACTGTATTTGCCCCCACCCACCTTACGACAACATCCCGTTGCAAGACTCTATACAGCCGGGACAGCTCCGTAGATATAAATGGAGAACACCTGACATCCTCCCACCACAATTTCACATCCCGAGTCAGCAGAGTCAATCAAGAGGTAAGCTTTCAGGAACAAGGAAATCAAGCAGCTCACCCAAGACGGAGAATATGACACAGATACAGACAGCTTCGAAGCCATTTCATATCACAGAATGAAGATAGGGACAGATCAACAATTTCGTCCCATTTCACGGGAACCCTGAAAATTACAGCCACTTCCACAACCAGAAAAAAAAAGAAAAAAAAAAAAATCACAGTCAATCGACAATTTATTAACCGACCACCAAACCCCCCAACCAGAATGTTTCACGTTCTTTCTATTCTTAAAACCCTCAGCAGCACGCCAATCAAATGACTGGGGGGTTCAGCAGCAATCCTTATCCACCATACTACAACTGCTCCGCTGGGGCTAATTCAACTTTCCACTTTTCCTAAACGAAACGAGACGAGGCAGTTCCTCCCTCCGTGTCGCACGCTCTCATTTGAGTGTACTGTGCCACCGACTCCCTGTGGCATTTTCCTCCCTGTGCGACAGGCTCCCCCTGGAGTGTACCTTGGCATACTTTTTCAGGCCAGAACCGAAACCTGTATCAGACAAGGCATCACCGAGCAGGAAAGGACCACCAGGCACGAGCTCCCCATTTCCCCCATATAATTTTTCACAACAGTAATAAAGCTGACGAAAATTAGCGAAAAAGAGGGAGAGACGAAACCCTCAACACCATCCCTCCCCCCCCACCCCCTCCGGGCGTGACAACCATTGTCGCCCGTTGCACTGAGACTTCGAACGGTCGTCGGCTTATTTACAACGTGCAAACAAGGAGAGGAGTCCGCAGTGAAGAACTTGGCCTCTCTGGCAACTAGAAACCTCTTCCGTTTCGGTCTTCTTTTTTGTCAATTTCCGGCGGAACAATGTATACATCCCTCCAACCTCCTGTCTCTTCCCAAAGAAACAAAGGATTCGCTGCTGCATTTACTTTCATCACCGACCTGTCGAGAAATCAAGCCTCCCTGTAGAGGTCCCTCCACAGTCATACTATGTTATACTTCTTCTGAACGGTCCTATTTGTCCGAATCCAGAACCGTCGCCAGCATCTCTCTTTCCCCAGCCGAAACACCTGACAATCCGAGAAACACCCCACTACCGTCTTCGGTCGAATAAAACGCTCGGGTATTATCGCTGAATGTGAACTGAAAATTACCGCTGTAATGACCGGGCGTTCTATTCGGGCGAAGACGGTAGTTCTCCTCCTCTTTTTTTTCTCTTTCTCAAACACCCCACTAGCTGTCCTTCTCTTCTCTTCCTGTTTCTCAAACACTGTCCTTCTCTTTCTCTTTCCCAAACACCCCACTGGCCAGTCTTCTTTCTCTCTCCCCCTGGAACAACACCCCATTGGCTACCCTTCTTTCTCTTACTCTTTCCCTTACCATCTCTCTTCGTCTTTTTCTCTCTCTCTCTCTCTTTCTCTTTCTCTCGTTTTTTTCTTACATTCTTATAATTGTGTATCAGCTCCTCCCAGTTCCCCAGTCTTTAGACACTTCTGGGCTCTCCCTTTTCTCTTTCCTTTACCGCTCTTCCAAACGATGAGCGATCGCCAACCTCCCAAAGGCCCTATACCTCTCATCATCTCTCAAGTCCGAACAATCCTGTATATTGCCACTGCCACCGGCTCAACTATACTTGATCCTATATGATTAATTGGGCATCCTATTGTAATACCTCTGTACAAAGCTTCAAAGCAAGGAATGAAAAATAGGCGAAACAACTCCAAAACGAGGGACGCAAGGCAAGTCCAAGATAATAGCCGCCTCTCTTCCCACTTCCACGAGCGGAAACTCGTAAGTTTTTCATAGTAGAATGAATACCGGCCTACCGTTGCACTCCTCGAAACCGCTCATTGATCCTCCTTAACTGCCTACCTGCACGTCCAACACCTGTCACTCCTCTTTACCGCAAACAACTTCAAAGCTCAGCAGCTATAAAGACCCACGAACTTCTTCTGCTTGCCACTCGACAAACCTACCGCGCTCCCATTCCGACCGGCGGGTTCTGCACAGTCCCTCTTCCCGCCACGTGGAATAACAACATCCTGATCCCGACAGCTCGAACGTTCCCGACAAGATACCGACCCAAAGAGGGAGTCAATAGCCGTAGATGATCACGAAGAGGAAACAACAAAGAGGCGAGAAATCAATAGGCAAGAAGAAGGGGGAGGGAAGTAAGGAGGGAAGAGAGAGAGAGAGAGAGAGAGAGAGGATGGATGCGTGGGTGGAGAAGAGACTGGGGGTAAGGGAGGGAGCTAAACAGGTAGGGGAATATCAAGATTTTCGGTAGGAAAGAGCGCTTACAACTTGTACTCTAAGAGCATATTGTTTTCAGGAGCTAGACCTATACATGCTCTGAAGACGTTCTCGAGGGCTGCTCGCTGCTTGGCCAGAGCATTAATGATGGGCGTGCCAGGCGGAACGAGCGGCGCCTTGCTGAGGTAGCTCAACAGCGACGCCACTGGATGCAAGCTCTTGAACTTCTTCCCGTCTTCCTTGACCTCGATCCTGGTCAGCAACTCCGCCAGCAGCACCAGATCCAGGATGATAGGCGCCGCGAGCAGCGAATCCTCGCAGGTATTGTGAATGGCGATGGTGTTCTTTCCTCCCATGAAGATCTCCGACAAGTACTCGTCCATCGCCCGCTTGCTGTCCCCAACGTACGGCACATACTTTATAACCACGACATGATCCGGGTGCTCGCCCGGCTCGTAGAGGATGGCGTTGCTGCACACCATGTCGTCGACGACGCTGCTCTTGGAGATCTCCTTCGACCTGAAAGTCTGAGGAGCGGACAGATTCATCCCATCGTTGTTCCCCAGGTGGTTATAGCTCACGATCGAAGTCGGCTTTATGCCAGCACCCACCAGGTAATCGACGAGTACGGACTTCAACTTCGTCTGCCCGCTCTTGAAATCGTCTCCGCCGATCAGACAGTTCTTCTCGATGGCGTACTCGATGACTCCGGGAACGAAGGTGTTTTGTGGGCTCCCGTTGATGAAAGGGACACCTTCGTGAATACAAGCGAGAGCGTAGAGTGTAGACGGAGAGATCTCCGCCTCTCCGGCCTCCAACGCCTTGAACAGATTCTCCCTTGTGTCGTTAAACCCCGTGATGACATCGCTGTATCTTTCTGTGTTAGCAGTCCAGAGAACCACCACTCCATCCACCTTCGTCCTCGCCTTGAAATCCCGTATATCCTGTATGACTTTCTCCATCTGCTCCTTCTTTGTCCCCTTGATTATGTTGTTCGCTCTGCCCTCTTGATTGGCTGCAATGAAGTCCGGATCGTAAATTCCCGGCAGAGGGGCCATCGTCTTCATGTAGGGAAAGAGCTGCCGCTGAAGATCTGGTTCAAACACCTTCGCCCGTGCCATGGCATCACCGAGATTCATGGCGGAGATGTCCCAACCTCCAAACACTATGTCGTTCGGATCAACCATCGGCAAGAGGCTACGGAAGGGTACATAGATCTCTTCCCCTCTGAAGGCTCCAATTCGACACGTGGAGGCTTGCGTCAGCGATCCGTAGTAATTAGCCCGCTGGATGCCGTGTTTGGTCACCCACGAGATCCCCTCCCTGTTCGCGATAATGCCCCCCGTCAGCGTCGAGCCGTTGTTTCCACCCCACCCCACAAGCATCACGCCCAGCTTCGGAACCTTCCTGCTCGTCCTGAACTCGTATTTGTGATCCGTCGGCCGAACCACCCACTCGCTACGCCCGCCCACCATTCGATGACTAACATCAGTTGTCTGATATGTGTACGTCGATTGTATGTAGTCGTCATTAACGACTACATTCGGGCTCTCCACGCAGAAATTCTCCACCAACATCGTGACCGTTCTACTTCTGACTCGCCGGCGACGACGCTGTCTGTACGCGCGTGCGTGCGTGATACACGCTCGACGCAATCGAAAACCTTCCCAATTCAAATGGTTTCAGATCGACATGAAGCACACAGAACTTCAGCGCGCCACCGGAGCGAGCGAAAGAGCGAGCGAGCGAGCGATCTCCCGCCCTCGTCCACGACTCAGACAAAAAAAACGGGGGAGAGTTTTTTTCCCCGATCGCCCGCCAAAATGCAGCGGCAAGCGACAACGCCCTCTTCCAGCGCGGGAGAGTTTCCGTGCTCGCCCGCCAACGCGACGAGGCGACGTGTGAGGAAAGTCTTCCCACCGGAGACGAGCCCTCTTCTCCGCAATCGCCCGCCCACGCGATGATGAGTTAAGCAACTCCCGGCGGAAGAGGTGCTCTCGTCGTAACAGATTGCAAGCAGATTGCAGATCTGATGATGGAACTTGGAGGGCGAGCACAGAAGAAATCTAGCACACATATAAGACGTAAAAGCGGCGATTGCTGGAGAAGTGGCGCGCCAAGGACAACTGCACTGCCCGCGGGCGAGAGGATGAAACGAGAACTTGGGCGGAGGCTGCGTCAACAACAAAAGCTGCCAATGCCAATGTCGACAGTTCCCGCGAGCGGTACGGTCATGGATCGTGAGGTGCCGCTTCGCTAGAGCAAGCGGCATGCGAACCACAAAAAAAAAATATTTTTATTTTTTTCATTTTTTTTATTTTTTTTGGGAAAAAGCAAGGAATTCCATTAATTAAGAACAAATGAGGCCCGGAATTCCTCACAAACAACCCGGAACGACACAGACTGACACTGGGACTAAGCCCCTGTAGAGGTAGTGGGGATTGCCCCAACAGCACGGTCGGCCGATTGGCCCTCAACACGAAAATTCTCCACTCAAAAGACACCAATTCACTCCTTCTACCCCTTGTAACCCTCCAACATTCCAACCTACCCTCCCATCTCTCCTACCCACTCGTCCCTTTCTAATGCCCCCCTATCCTACCCACCAACCCTTAGTAATTCCTTTAACTACTGTAACATTAACGTCCTACCTCTACCTCAGATCTCACTGAACCGCGCGGGGCGCGGGGGCGCAGCCAGAGCATATGAAACTGCAGTTTAGAGTGTTCGTGTTTTGCACGAGTCTTATTGTAGAAGCCTAGAGACATGTTTGCGAGCGGGAACTGCAGGGTGTAGTGGAACAACGACGACCTCTAGTATTTTTTAATTACGTTTTGGCTCAAGGGCGCCCGTAGGGCTGCCCTTGAGATTTTTTTCAAGTCGAGGGTAGTGGAACGAGGCCCTATGTAGATGGGGTTTCGACAGCCTCCCTGTACTTTTGTTGTCGACCTGCCAAAATTCCATGCCCCACCGCTGTTTTTTTTTCCTTTTTTTTTATGCAATGAAATTCCACTCGAGGCCAAGGGCCTCACAATTCTACCCGGTAAGCACCGGGGCCATTACCCAACTGCGGCTTTTGCTGGAAACCGGGTCCAGCGTCCCATCGCAAATCCCACTTTGGCCAAAGTCAAGGAAGCCTGAACTGCCTAGATGGGTTTCCCATGGCACACCCTTCCATCCTGAATAAAGCAACAATCAATGAATAAAGATCACCATGGGTACAGTCCAAGTTTGCTTCCTAACCATTCTTATGCTATCTACAAGCTGATAGCGCTCCAGCCACACCCGTGCTGTTCTATACCAAGTTGCCGTGTCCCATGGTAAGTTGGAAGGGACAGGTTCTGTCCCCTTGGCTCACCAATGACCCACTAAAGTTAGCAAGGAGCAGTCCTATCGTGAGCAGTGTAACTGCGACTTGGCTTTCAGACCGTGGTCACACTGCATTCCACGTAGAAGCTCGACCCTGGTCACTATGCATTCCGCTTTGAAGCTCTGCACTCCGTTTCGAAAGCTAAGCTTCCCATCAAGTTGCCCGACTGGCGAGACTACTCGGAGCCTGAAGATCTTTAGGCTCCCATTGCCGCTGTTTTTGTCGGCAGAAACTATGTGCCTGGCCATTTTCATCGCTGAGGTTCATGCCTTGTTAGGCACATATACATAGAACCTCTGAAAGCTGGCCCTAAGGATCAGAGGTCAGGTTGGAGAAATGTGTGTACCTAGATAGCATGATCTTGGCAATCAAGTTGGTCAGGCTCGGGCATGCTTCGCACAGAGAACCACTCACAGAGCCCTGGCACTAAGATTTATCATGGAAGGGTAGGCAAAATTCACAAAAAAAAAGAAAAAGGTATGTTGTACTGGCGCAACCTCATTTGTCAAAAAGATGACAAAGCAACCAAGCCATGAAGAGACCCTTCGCTGGTGTTTCTCCGTTTCAAATTATTACCCATGTGCTGCATTAGTTGGTATCAATGAACCCTACAGTACCAATGAACCCTACAAGCTGCTCTTTGCCGCGGAGACCCTTTGCCATTCATTTACACTCGCGACATTGTTCTTGCTGCAATCAACCATCTTCTGATTACCTATTCACACTGAGTATGATTGCTCCTAGCCAAGCAATCAGCTAGATCACGTATCTTCCCTGCTCATCACCTGTCCCATGATTGCTACTAAGCTTTCGCCTACATCAAACTACGTATCCCACTCTCGACCCTAATGCCTCTCTTTCTTTCTTTCTTTCTTTCTTTCTTTCTCTCTCTCTCTCTCTCTCTCTCTCTCTCTCTCTCTCTCTCTCTCTCTCTCTCTCTCTCT